GGGGGGGGGCACGAAGGGCTAGAAAAGGAACAGCTGGACCCAGAGCACACAGGAGGAGGCTCTCAGTCTGCAATAGCCTGGACAGGAGTAGCTTACAGAGCCAAACAAAAATTCAGCCTACCCAGATGGATGCAAAGGGATGGGACGGCTAAACTAGCTGGTGCCAAATCCCACTCACACATGAATGAAAAGGAAAATAAAATGGACAGAGCAGTCCAGTTCCCGAGCAGTCAGGAATTTCTGATCTACACACCTCTGGGACGCAGCATCTCCATCCCTCAGCCCTGCTCTCTGAGGCTTCACAAACATCTGCTGCACTGAGCTTCCCTGCCAGCAAACCCATCTTCCAAGGGTCTATATTTGCCTGCACATTACCGTAAAGCAAGGAAGAAGAGTCTGGTTCACAGTACCCTCTGCATCATCCAACAATAGGCAGAAATTATTTGTTAAATTAATGGTTTTTCAGTATACGGGGCAGCATTTATCAGACTTAGGTGCTTAAGTGGAGACTGCAAGACCTTTGTCTTGGCATCTGACAGGGAGAACTTGATTTTCAGAAGTGCTCAGCATCGCTGATGAGAATTACAGATGCTGGCTTGTGCATGGGAACAGCTGAATCTAACATCTACTTAGGTTGTCAGAGCACTATAAAGATGTGTAAAGATAAAGCAGTTCAGAGCCTCCAGATCCAGGCTTAAGGATAAATGTATGATATTTCATCCAAACAAGAGATATTAAAAAGAGAAAGAAAGAGGGGGAGAGAATGAGGATGCTATGAGGTCAGAGCTGACTTTTAAGACTATTGCTTTACTGTTGTCCTTCCTTAGAGACAGAAAAAAAAACAGAAAAAAAATCCCGGAAAACAGAAAATCGAGAGAGAACAAGTGCTTTCCTTTTCTTCTTTCAATCTGCCACTCACCCAAAACTTGCAGAAGTCATCATGCCCCGAACCCGGGAGCTCAGAGAAAGGCTGGAGAAATGTTCAGGGCGCTTTCCAAGCTGCATTAGCAAGGATTAAATACAAGCAAGATTGGAAGGGATATAAAACTCCTGCTTAAGCCTTCTCCCTCAGCTCAAGGGCAAAGAAATCTGCATCCGGGTCAGCTCATTTCATAATTGCTTCCCTCAGAGGGCTTTAGCTACCACCTTTGATGCATCTGGTGTTTGTCACTGCCGGAGACAGTGACGCTTGCTCAGAGCATCAATACCCTTAAATCAGGCCAGCTGTACATACATTTCTCATGAGCCACACACACACTGTTCTTTAGTCCAATTATACTCTGGGCAGACTGGCAGTGAGTTCCTGCCCACTCGTTCACCACTCTTGCAGTGCTTTCTGCCTGTTTGAACATGTTTGATCAAGCCTACTTCTCTGGGTCATGGTTCTTGGTCAGGAGCCGAGGAGGCTGCATTTGCCTCTCGGGTGAATTTTGTATAACATTAATCAGACTGCATTAGCTTGGACATGGCAGTCCTCACCCCTCAGAGCTCCTGCCAACACACTGGACCAGTTTCTGTTGAGCTCGCACAAGGCATTGGCGTGGGTCAACAGAGGTCCCACCTCACTGGGCTTTTGTCCCTTGCTGAGGGAGCAGAGATTGTTTAGAATGTGCCCACGGCTCTCCTGGTGGCTTCAAGTTAGCATGGGAAGCAAAGCTGCTGAATCCCTGTCTCAGCACTGAACTGAACAGCAGTAGGATGCTAAGACCTCAGGGATGCTGCTCCTTCAGCAGGAGCTGCTAAGGACAGGTAAGTCAGCCTGGCATGAAGCACGCATACTGCCTCTGCTCCGCTCTGCTCTCTGAATGTGCAAACTGGAGCATAGAGTCAGTAGCTGCAAGGAGAAACCATTGCCACACTTCAGCCCTGAGAGGCGGCTTTAGGCAGGCCTCTGATGAGAGTTGGCTGCAGCCTTTCCTGAAGCACAGTGTCTCGCTCTGGATGAATTTGATTTCAACTCCAGTCATAAGGTCCCCTCAAACTGCCCTCCCAAAATCCCAGTGATTTTTAGATAGGCATGGTAAGTCATCCAAGCCTGAAGAAAATGCTTCTCCTTTCACCATGGAAGGAAAGCACCAAAGCATCCTCTTTTGAATTTAACTGAGGTTCTGGTTGGAGCCTATTTTGGGACATACTGTTTCCTTCATTGAGGAATATCAAAGTCTTGTTCTCTCACCACCATTTGCAGCTGAGCGAACAGGAGAGCTGGGCTCCCTCCCTGTGGGTCTCAGTGGAAGGAGATGACACTGTCCACAACTGCTGAGACAAGGAATGGGTCAGTCTGAGCACAAACAGTTGGCGTGAACCCATGCCTCCTGAGGCATTCAAACTTAAGGTCCTGTGTTTTCTTTGAAAACGTCTAATACAGAGGAAGCGTTCGAAAGAGCAGATAATTAACTGGCGAATGTCAGTCTGTAGTTTCTCAGACCCCCTGAGAGGACAGATGCTGTTAGACAGACTGACTCCTCGCACGAGACCTGGTGCTTGGGAAAAAGCAGAATGGGATGGGTGCCCAAGCTTGAGCCTTCAGGGAGCAAGAGTCAGCCAAAATGCTGGACAGCAGGAGACCAGTCATGCTAAAGGAAAACATCAGCAGGAAGGGGTTTAAGGACCTTTCATGAAGGGCTGTGAGCCGGGACAGAGAGGTCAAAGCATCCTCAGGGGGACCCCTGGAAGCTGTCTTAGTAGAACCCAGCCACTCTACCCTCGGAAAGAAATGTTACTCCAATTCTCCTAGGCTTACTGGAAAACCTGGAAGGAACTGGCTAGTTGGGGTGGGGGTCTCTCCACAGCTAAGCCATACCATGAGGCAGCCTCAGAAGAGCCCCAGTTTTGCACACTCTTGCACGTGCACAGCTCCTTTTCCCAGAGCTGACCACCTTCCCCCTTGGCCGCACAGCGGATGGGTGCCAGCTCCCTGACAGCAGGTGACAGCTTCTGCACTGGTGGCACAGTGTTTTCTGGTGGTTTCACGGAGGCTACTGGGGAGATGCCGCAGTGGCTGCAATGGAGCCGTCAGCACAACCACAAGGAAGCAGGAAAAAGCCTCTGCAGGATGCCTGTAAAAGGACAGCCAGCTATGGAGGACTTCACAGCCACACCTGGACCACTTCTAATCCCAGGCTGTGCTTGTTCTGTTCTCATTGCTTCACCAACATCTCTAGCAGCAAAAAAGCCAAATGCCTCGCAGCAGCCTATCATATACCCTGATGCAGTCAGTTTATGCTCTCAGGAGGAGTTTAAACATCTGTCTTCATCTTGTCTTCTGCACCCCAGGAGTTTCCCCAAAGACTGACAGAAATACAGTAACTGGTAATGGAGCTAGCTTAAAAAAAAAAAAAATAAAAGAAAGGCAGGAATGATGGATATAAGTTTTCCACAGATTTACAACCTTGTCCAGGAAGTTCCCAGCAGAGCAAAAGGACCATGTGAATCAAGCGTCAATGCCATGGTCAAGTTTTTACAGAATCACGAATTCAGAGCTCTGCCTCTGCTATCACAGACGGACAGCCCCCGCAACAGCCTGGCACAACTAGTGGTCAGCCCTTATTTTCAAGCACTGTTATCACTCCTGTGTGGGCGTGAGCTTAGCAAGCCTCACTGCTTTTAACAGGTTGTACTAATTGTTCTGAAAAGACTATTTCTGTTGAGCCTTTCTTAAGTCACCTTCCTAAGTAACAGGATGAAATGCAGAAAGCTGGAGCTAAACTTGCTAACTGGTGAAAGCTAGTGCACCGACAGCACAAGAGAGAGCAGTGAGAGTTCTGGTGCTCATAAAAAGACTGCTAGCAAGGCTTGTAGTTTTTACC